GATCGTTGCGCTCGTGGCCGGTGACAGACTTTGGTCGACCGGAACCGAAACGGTGACCAGGCCCGCGCGGTCGATCGGCTCTTCGAACGAAGCCACGATCATTGGGTTTCGCGAAAACGCACGCACTGTCCGACGGTCGGCAAAGTCGGCGCTGATGCCTTCCTCGGTGCGCAGTTGTGCGGCGCGCGTGAGGTCGACGCGCCCGTCCTCTTGGATGAAGAAGTCCGAAGGGTAAGGCAGCATGCAATCGTGGCCGTTGAGCAGGGGCTGGCATCCTTGGGGCAGGTTGAGCGGAGGCGCCTCGCTGCAACCCGCGAAGATGAGGGCACCCGAAACAAGCAGAAGAGTTACAGACCGCATAGACGCCCATAAAGCCTGGCTCCGGGCGGTCGGGCAATACGATTTCTAAAGCGCACAATAGGAGAAGCTGACAGATAACTGCCTTCGGAGCCGCCCTTGGACGCCCTGGACCGTACTTGCCGCCCGCGGCGGTGCGGACTATGGCCTGGTCTTCCTGAGGAGGAACCAGATCGTGAACCAAATCTTCGACCTTTTGTCCGGCGTGATGAGCTCCGGCAACGTGCAGCAAATCTCCCAACAAATCGGCGCATCCCCGAGCCAGACGCAAAGCGCGATCTCCGCCGCGTTGCCCGCCCTCCTTGGCGGTCTGCAGCAACAAACCAAGGAGCCTGAGCAAGCCCAAAAGCTCGCTAGCGCCCTCGACCGCGACCACGACGGTTCCTTACTCGATGGCATCGGCGGCATGTTGTCCGGCCTTTCCGGTGGCGGCGCTCAAGACCAGGGCGGTCCCGGTCTCGGCGGCCTGCTCGGTATGGCCGGCTCGATGTTGGCGGCGGCTCCCGGCCCCGGCAGCAACAAGACCACCGACGGCGAGGGCATTTTGGGCCACATCCTCGGCGGCAAACGACCCGCGGTGGAACAGGGCATGGCGAAGGCCAGTGGCCTCGATTTGTCGCAGGTCACCAAACTTCTTCCGTTGTTGGCGCCGCTCGTCATGGGCGCTCTCGGCAAAGCGAAACAAGCCGGCGGTCTCGATGCGGGCGGTCTCGGCGACCTGCTCGGCGGCGTGATGCAGCAAATGGGTGGCGGCGGCGGCAATTCCGGCGGCGGCGCGGGCGGTCTTCTCGGGGGGCTTCTCGATAGCGACGGCGACGGCAGCATTGCCGACGATTTGGCCGGTATGGCCGCCAAGAACGTGCTCGGCGGTCTCTTCAAGTAGCGTGCTGTTCCGTGGCCCTGTAAGTCAGGGTCATGGACGCTCATCCTGCTCTGCTTAACCCAACGGCGGCCGATGCCACGGCGCCCGAAGACTTCACTGTCGAATTCGATACGACGGTTGGCCCCATGCTGATCGATGTCAACCGTGCCTGGTCTCCCCACGGCGCCGATCGCTTTTACAATCTCGTCAACATAGGTTTCTTCACCGACATCATCTTCTATCGTGTGATCGAAGGGTTCATGGCGCAATGTGGATTGCATGGAGATCCAACGATCACCAAAGCCTGGCGCGATGCTTTCATTCCCGATGATCCGGTTGTCGAACAAAACATCGCGGGCCGGTTGTCGTTCGCGACGTCCGGGCCAGGGCGCCGTACGACGCAGATCTTTATCAACACCGCGGACAATCGCCGGCTCGACACAATGGGTTTTTCACCCTTTGGTGTGGTGCGGGATATCGAGGTCGCAAAGGCGCTTCATGCTGGCTACGGCGAATCCACGCCCAGTGGTAAGGGACCACGGCAAGGGAACATCCACCGCGAAGGCAACGCGATGTTACGCCGAGACTTTCCGGAACTCGACAGCATCAAAACCGCCCGCATCGTCTGAAGTTTAGGTTGCGTCGTGCGGTGGAGTTTCAAACAAAGGCGCCGCGCCGCGATCGATGCGCCGACGCAAGTTTTCTTGCACCGTAGCGATACCCAGGTCATCGAACGCCCCGGCTGGTTTCAGCTCCTCACGCCGAGCGCGCCCACGTCACTCAACGAGGTTGTGTTTTCCAAGGTCGCCGCCGCTGAAGCCGATGAGGTTATTGAGTCAACCTTGACGCAGTACAAAGACCGCGGCCTTCGACTCAAATGGTGTGTCGGTCCGTGGACTGAGCCGTCGGACTTTGGTGAACACCTGCGTGCCCGGGGATTCGATGCGTGGCGTGTACGCGGGATGGCGATCGATACCCAGGGCGCAGTGGCTGATCCACGTGTGGTTCGGGTGGATAGCGCGGGGAAACTTGAGTTGCATACCGAAGCGGCGGTGAACGGTTGGGGTGTTCCGGACAATGAGAGCACGGTCTTCGCTCAGTCGTACCACCGCGAGTTCGCCGCACGGCCGGACTTCATACGCTTTTATTCTGCCTATCTTGACGATCAGGTTGTCGGCACGGCGGCGACGGTTTTTCGCGGCGACTATGTTTATCTGACGGGTGCGCAGGTCTTAAGCGGGGCGCGTGGCCGCGGTCTGTACCGGGCTTTGATTGCAACACGTCTTTACGATGCCGCGGCCCTAGGAATTGGTTTGGCGGTGACCCAGGCGCGGGAGAGTACGTCGGCGCCCCGGCTGGAGCATCTCGGGTTCGAAACGGTGTTTACGTCACGTTGCTACGTGCCGGGTTAGGCCTGCTGCCCGGTCATTTTGAGTCCGACGATGGAGATCAACAGCAGTGTCAAAAACCCCATGCGAGCGAGGGTGAGGGGTTCTTTGAAGATCACCGCGCCCAAGATTGTGGCGCCGGTGGCTCCGATGCCGACCCACACGGCGTACGCGGTTCCCACAGGAAGTGTTTTGGTGGCCGAGGCTAACAACCACATGCTGGCTGCGATGGCGCCCACGACGGCGACCGTAGGCAGCGGTTTGGTGAAGCCTTCGGTGGATTTGAGGCCGGTGCTCCACGCGACTTCGAACAATCCTGCGAGACAAAGAATCAACCAACTCATGCGGTCAAATTAGGCCGGCCGGCCGTGACCTGTCTACTGCGACACGGGCCTCACCAAGAACCGACGCTGGGCATGGAGGCCCAGGGTTCTTTGATCTCCTGGGCTTCGCCTTTTTGCAGCAGCTCGATGGAGATGTCGTCGGGTGACCGCACAAACGCCATGCGCCCGTCGCGCGGCGGACGATTGATCGTGACTCCGGCGGCCTGAAGTTTTTCGCAGGTCGCGTAGATGTCGTCGACTTCGTAGGCGAGATGTCCAAAGTTTCGGCCACCATCGTAAGGCTCCTCTTGGTCCCAGTTGTGCGTCAACTCAACCTGCGGAGCGTTTTCGTCGGTCGCCAAAAAGACGAGCGTGAACCGGCCCTTTTCGTGGTCCCGCCGTCGAATCTCTTTGAGGCCTAGGAGCTCAACAAAAAAGTGGAGGGCGGCGTCGAGATCACGAACGCGGATCATGGTGTGTAAGTAACGCATGCCTCGGCATGCCACGTGTTCAGGTCAGCGCCAACCACCGACCCCGGCTAGGGAACCAGGCCCAGGCGGCGGAGGTCGTCGCAACGCCCGCCGCGGATCTCGGTCACGATGTCGACCGGGTCATCCAAAATCGCGAATGCAGGAGATGTTGCAGAGTATGCAGGCCAGGTCTCGGCCAGATCCGGTGTACCGGTGTGCGCAAAGCTTCCCCACGCGCGCTGCATGGTCTGTTCGACGCGGCGGTCGGGTGGCGTTGTAACAAGCGGAATCTCGTCGAAGCTCGAGAAGACGTAGAACAATTCAATACCGTGCGCGACGCCGATAGCGCGGGTGAGCAAGGGGCTGCGCGTAAAGTGGTAAGCGTACGCCGGCGCGCCCCCGGCGGCCTCGCGGGCCGCTGAGACACCGGGGCAAATGAATGACAGCTCACCCAAAAACGCGAGCCACGCATCGCTCGCGAGCGGGTAGTCCAGCCGCGAGTAGAGATCGACCACCGCCTCGGCCGTCGATGACGTCGCGCCCGTCATGTCCTCGACGGCCCGTTCAAACCCCGCTCGCGTCACGACCACCGCGGCGCCGGCAAACAGGATACCTTCGTCCTCATTGGAGCCAACGATCAACGGTTTGTCGGCGCCCGGTTGCGACAAGCGCAAGAGAGGTTGCTCGGGAATCAGCGTGCCATCCACATGCGGCGAGACGGCCGTAAGCTCTGCGAGGTCACCCGAAAAAATGGACAGAATCTTCGTTGCGCCTTCCAGGTCCTCCAGCGGAAGCGTTCTTAAGCAGCGCAAGGGATCAAACGCATCGTCGCAGCCGAGTTCTTCCATCAGCGCGGCCCCGCCTTCCATGATACTCGGGGTGTTGACCGGCCCGCCGCTGCGTTCGCTGGCCAGGATGCACATCCCTGATTCGATGATCGCTTTATGAAAGAGATCATCTGCGCTGGGCGCGCCCAGGATGGCGCAGACCGAAATCGCGCCAGCGGACTCGCCGAACACCGTGACGTTGTCCGGATCACCACCAAAGGCGCGGATGTTGGTTTGGACCCAGCGCAAGGCTTCGATTTGGTCGTGCAGACCATAGTTGCCGGCGCTGTCAATTCCGCTTTCCTCGGCCAGTTCCTCGGTCGCCAGGTAACCCAAAACACCGAGTCGGTAGTTGATACTCACGACGGTGACGTCCGCATTGATGGCAAGATCAGTTGCCTCGTACAGTGGCCACGCCGAGTCGCCGCTGACAAACCCACCGCCGTAGATGAAGACCATCACAGGTCGTTGCTGACCGTCGTCGTGTGCCCAGACGTTGAGAGTTAGGCAATCCTCGTTGCTCGGCCGGGCGAAGTCGCCGGCCAAGAATTCTGGACCCAACGCCGTTTGCGGGCAGGGTGGACCAAAATCATCGGCCGGCAGTGTGCCGTCCCACGGCGCGGCCGGTACGGTCGGACGAAAGCGCAAGTTGCCTGTCGGTGGTTCAGCAAACGGAATCCCGCGGAAGATCCGCAATCCGTTTTCCTCTTGGCCCTCGACGGAGCCCGTCGAGATCGTGACCGTCGTTCCGGTCTGTTGCATGACCGACGCGTCGGCAGCGCCGGCATCGGTCACGCCCGAATCGGTCGTCCCCGTGTCGGTGGTGACGCGCGCATCATCGGGTGTATTTGTGTCGCGCGGTTCGCTGTCGCCGGTGCCGGCATCGAGACCGGAGGCGTCGGGAACGCCCAACGAGGCGCTGTCACTGCAGGCCGTGACAAGGAGAAGGCCGAGGAAGGCTACAGCACGACGCACATCGCGTGTTGTCGCGGTCTTGACGAACTGCGTCAATGTCGCGCGCCTTGGCCCTGGACCATCGACCGAGGGGTATGCCACAGGGGCGGCATGCTGAAGCGGGTCGTCATCATTTTTCTTCTGCTGGTGGCCCTCATGAGCGCCGTGACGTTTTTTTTGCCCAAAGAGTTCGGCGCCGAGCGCAGCATGGTGATGGCGGCACCGGCCAACGTCATCTTTCATCACGTGAACACTCTGCCGAAGAACGAGGCTTGGTCGCCGTGGAAAGTGAAGGACCCGACGGCCGAGATCACGTATTCCGCAACATCCTCTGCCGGCGTAGGTGCCTCATATTCATGGACCAGCGCCAACTCGGACGAGGGTTCACTGACTATCGTCGAGTCGGCTCCGTACACCAGGATCGTCAACTCGATCGACTTCGGTGCGCAGGGCAAGGCAACCGGCATTTGGACATTCGAACCGGAAGGCGACAAGACCAAGGTCACCTGGCGGCTCGAGGGCGAAGCCCAAGAGTTTCTCGGTCGTTGGTTCGGTCTCATGATGGACAGCATGGTGGGACCCGACTTCGAGCTGGGGTTGACCCGCCTCAAGGCTGTGGTTGAAAAAGTCTGAAACATGCTGATCGATGCTTCTTACGTTTGCGCGTTCTGCGGAGAGTCCAACGACACGTCCGTCGACCCGAGTGGCGCCAGCTCTCAGAGCTACGTCGAAGATTGCCAGGTATGTTGCCGGGCCAATGTGCTTCGGATCAGCATCGATGCTGAAAGTCAGGTTGCATACGTAAGCAACGAACTCGCCTA